GGGCCGAAACACTATTGGACGAGTGACTCAGAGAGCCGAGGAGCAATGCGGCTCCCCGGCCGAGACATAGCACAAAGGAAGGAAAGGAAGGAGTGCTTCGGACTAGCCGGGAACTGGGTTTCAGCATACTCGTTGAATCGCAGCCGGTGAGCCGATCCTCATCGCTTGGCCTCGCTCCCGACAGTCCAGATGGATGCTTCGCATGGGCATCAGGAGTACGAGCAGGCATCAGCCGCACGAGAAATAGCTCGACGTTTCTAATCGCTCTGCTATACTATCATTGCAATGTTCGGAGTGTTCTCTTTTGCAATGCCTCACGGTTGGCCGTCACTCGCCGAGTAATGCGCGAGCTAAACCTGTGCATAAGCGGCGTGGTTCAGTCTCATCGAACACCCCCTTTTGGTGAAGACGTGTTGTATCAGTATCCCTTTCCATGCAATAATACATCGTGCGAGTCGGTTTTATGCATTCAGCCGTGTCCTGTCGTGCCTTTAGAGATGCTGCAGTAGGTGCCCGGGCATGCCTGGTGCCTGTCGTCTTCCGCCGCCCCAAACTTGCCGCGCAGCTTCGGTGATCGTTGGTCGTGTCCTAAATATTGCACCAGGTAAAAGAGAGGATCATAGCAGCATTGGAGCAGGCTTCGCCATAACGTCGAGTAAGGTGCGCAGGAAGTAAGGTGTGCAGGATGGTCACACAGCAGTCGATTCCAACGGTTGCCGCCACGAACGCCACAGCGAAGCCTGTGCATGCGGCTTGGACAACGTGTTCACATCGAGATCCTGCATTAGCAGCGGATCCGCCATTGCAGCTGCCGATGGGGTTTGCGACCAGTTCTGCACCGTAGAATTGGGTGTACAGCGAGACGATGTAGGTGCCCCATAACCACCTGGCTTTCGTACTGAGTCCTCTCGGGCGGGCTGCAGCGTTGGCATCAGCTGACTCCTGTTGGTTTTCTCCTGCGATGGAGTCTTTCAGAGACGTTGGCAGCTTGCCGTCTGGGTTGTATGGGGGCGCTTTTGAGCTTGCAAATGGTGAAAGCGGTGGGCATGAGCTCCTGAATGAGCTGATCCGACTCAAGTCCAGGATCGTAGTGGCTTCGTCCGCGATGACGATCTTAGTCTTGCGCAGGATCGTGCGTGCCATTGTGAGCAGCTGTCTCTGGTCAGCAGAGGTGAGAGCCGACTTCGGCAATCATGGCGTCGAGGGTCATTTCTATAAGCGCTTGGCCATCCTTCCTGGCCTACATCGAGTTGACGCGGAAGGACGTCTCTTTGCGTTCGCCGCCGGTGAATAGCGACAGCGGCTCGGGGTTGGTATGACGGATCCACTGAAGACTCTCCGGAACTGCGAGCTGAGGCCGGCGCGGCTATGCACCCTCTCAATTGTGACGCCGGCAATTTAGCCTCGAGGCCTGAGGAGCGTAGTCTCACCCCTCCTCTCTCCTTCGACTTGCTCCCGCCTTTCTGAGATTCTGCCTAGCCGTTTGAGAGCGCCATTATGCCACAGCAAGCGCCAGGGTCCACCTTCGCATCGCATCCCCATCTGGGCCGGCACTTTCTGCTCTCTGTCCGGATTTTGTTGCAGACGCTATTCTCACGCTGCTTTGCTCACACGTCGCCGGTGCTAGCTGAGAACCCAGCGTGAGCAATGAAGCTTGTACCGGAGCGAGACTTAGGATGCAGGAGATCAAGGGCGAAAGAACGTGTCAGCGCTCTGCGAACGGGGACCCTAGCGCTTCGCCCTCACCTTCACCGATCAGCCTGCCTCTGGAGCCGCAAGGGTCCATGTCGTCCACCAATGCTTCAGAAGTAAACGGCATCGACTGTTGGTCTTGCTTGTCATCTGGCTACTTCCGTTTGTTCATCGTATATACGTGCCCGAAAATTCGCTCTCTGCGCTTCTACATCGGCGACGCAAAAGGGACTAGTATGTACTCAGTAAGCGCAGGTCACACGGCACAGACCGCCTAGAACCTACATGCTCCATGCCAACCTTGTGATGGACGAAGCCGCTGGTCGACTCCCTGTGCTCAATTATGCTTATGATTGACGGAAAAGAGGAGACATTGTAGCAGGCGTGCTAGCTACTACAAGGCAGTGCATGGAGAACGCAGCAAGGGCGAGCTTGGTCCTTCTTCGTCAACAACAGCAGGTGCATCATGTTCATATCTTGAGGTGCTGAAAATTGCGCCCCGCTAGGATGATTCGCTGCTCGAACCCGCCCTCCACAGTAACAGCAACAGTCGTTGATGAGAAGGATGTGAAAGCCGAGTTGCGTGTTCACACGGGCGTCTCTCCCAGCGCTTCCCCAGCCCGGGCGCTCGGCGATGAAATCTCATTGCCAGTACGGATGATAGCGGGGCTGTCGCTGGTGGCGACATGAGGGCATTGCTCGGCGGAGTCGACCACTCCGCCAAGCAACGGCGGTATTCCCCTTGCCCAAGCGGTGCTACTTCGCCGCAGACTGTCAACACACTTTGTCCCCGTAGGTCAGTGGGGCAACGGCATTGCGTTCTGTCACATTTCAGTCCGAGGGTGTCTGTGTCCATTGCTTTACCATGCGTTCTCGTAATAAACTTGTGTACAACACCCATTGGGACCCTTGACAGCACCTAGATCATTCATTACGTCGGCGGCATAGAATGCCAGGAGACGGCTGTAGGATGGACTTGGAGATCATGAACAACTAAATTAACGACGTTAGGTAAATCAGGCATACCGTTTTCAAGCCAATGTCATCATAGAAAGGAGCGCTGTGCTCAGTGTGAGGCCGAGGAGCAGCCATGCGCTCGTCTTGCCTGCCGGATTCTTGAGTGATCCGGATGGGCTGGGGCTCAAGCAAATTGCAGTGGCATTCTTCGCAAGCATGCAGTTCTCAAAGTCCGTGAGGTTGTTCTTAGAATCGAGGCCGCACCAGCCTTTTCCGACCTTGTAGCTCCACAAATCTTGCAGCTGCTGGCAACAGCTGTTGAAAGCTGCACCGTCAGCAGCGGTTGCGTTGCACCCATAGGGCGTCAGAGCAAATGCTACGGGCCCATTCGGGCCGGTGGAAGTATTAGTCATGTTGGCGGAAGTCGCTCTTTGACGCCAGCCGCTAATCTAACGCTCAGAGTGCAGATGCGAGCCCACGGCGTTGGCCCCTCTGGGTTGGCAGCTGATGCAGCTCGAAACACCTCCGTTTATATATGTCCCTAGACCTGGAGGTCCTAAGGCCTGAAGTCTCACATCTCACATCTCACATCTCATTCACATCTCAAGCCTCACATCCTCACATCTCACAGGCCAGGCCCTGCCAGGTCTCGCAAGGGGGCTGCACCGCCAGACGCTGTCGAAGAAGAACACTTACATGTTGGGAGCATGTGGCCAGGGGACAAAGACTCAGTCCAGTCCAGGTTCTTGGGTATACACACGAAATTGAACAACATGGGAGCTGCATACATACAGGGGATGTACATACCTGATCGGACAATGTGTGCCTGATGGAACACAAGCCTAGTGTCGAGTGGTGCATGGCATATAGATCGTGGAACCGGGAGCGTCTATTTCTTCTTAAAATATGTACATAGCTTCGCAGATTTTCGGGCTCGATGTGCAAGCCGCCAAGGGGGGGCACAGAACGCTGAGCAGTGGCTGCGGTGCTGCTGCGAGATTGCATATGTATCATGTAGACTCCACCATATTCTGGTAGGCGAAAGCGCAATGCCGTCGGCGCAGAGGCGCAATCGCGACCGCGGAAGACACAACACTGATGAACACACCCAGGCACATCAGCGCACACCACAAGGAAATTTCCGCATCGCTGCAATGAGTGCAAGGTATTGTGCAGTGCTGAGTGCTGAGACTGGTGTACGCCGCCCGCTTCCGCCTTTGATTGAGCTTCAGCGGGGTCAAAAGCAAGGATCCCAAGATCGATTACGCCGCCCTAGCAAGGACGAAAGGCGTATTGAAAGAGTCAACGTGATCCTGCCAACCGCGTGGTCAAGCCTGTCTCTCCTCTCATTGCTTTCTATGAGCGATTTCCCACATGGGTACTGGGGGTGAAGGAGGGGAGCTAGGGTATAGAAGGCAGCCTGATAAACCGATGGACAGATGCAGATTTCGCTAACTATCTCCATCCTCTTTACCCTCCTTAACCCCACCGTCTCTTTGCTATCCAAGTAAACGGTCGTCTCTTGGGCCGATTCAAGAGGACCATTACGTATGTCATCAGTGGATTGACGATGCCTTGGGCAAGCTTGCTGACCAGCATGTTGATACTTTCTCCAGCACTACGATGTTCAAGTCGTCTCTGCGCGCGGCTTTGTCCATTGGCGTGGCCGTGGCCGTCGCGCTCTTCATGCCGACGAAGGGAACCATTGCTTCGCCGGCACCTGTCAGCACTAACGAAACGTTCAGGCCGGATCCCATCATTTATTCACGAGACAGCCCTAATTTCGTCTCCATCTCCGACCTCAATGTGACTGACGTATCTGTTGGCTAGACCGTTATTACTGCTGACGGTCAGTCTTTCAAACTCATATCCGACTGGACCGAGGTGCTCGTCGCACGAAACGAATCTACTGATTCCGCCTCGCCCGCCTGCGCAACGCACTCGCGCAAGTGGACTGAAAGACAGCGCACTCGCGGAGGAAACTGGTGGAATCAGTGGACCCAAATCACTTCCTGCCTATACTGCGGCCAAAATTCCGGGAGCCAAGGCTACAGCGCGTCGCGGACCGTTGGTTGGTCAATCTCTTTTGGTGCTTCAATGTCCTACGGTGACGTCAAGTCTGTCCTGCCCAACCCGTCCTTCGGCTTCTCCTATACCGACACCTCTACGTACGGTCAATCTTCAAGCTGCAACTGCCAGAACAGTATCGCGTGTGTGTGGCAGCAAAATGCGATGCTCTGGGTGGAGACCAAAACGCGAACAGCCTGGGAGTATTGCACGTGCGACGGATGTGACGACTCTTCCGGAGACTGGAGCGATGTAAATCACGCCGACCTCCCCACGGTAAACTCCCCTTCGAACACGCACTTCGGCTGCAGTTCCGGAAGCGGTTGCAATTGTTAACGTGTCTCGGAACAAGGTCCTCCAAAGTCATCTTTCATCAAAATAAATAGCGCACCGTTGCAAGAAGCGCATCGTCGAAAGTCGGACAGTGTCTCTTGCGCAGTGTTCTTGGGTGTTGCATGCTGTACGCTTTGTTTTGCTCTTGGGTTGAGTGAACTATTCTTTTGTATTCACGTATCCTTGTGCATGTAAGTCCTTCCGTCTTCGAGCCTACCGAAATCGAATTCTTCCTTTCCAAATGCCAGAGCGCTGACACGGACTTTACGCCCTTGATCCGCTGCATCCCCAGTGTCGTTAGGGTTAGGGTTAGGGTTAGGGTTAGGGTTAGGGTTAGGGTTAGGGTTAGGGTTAGGGTTAGGGTTAGGGTTAGGGTTAGGGTTAGGGTTAG